CCTTGCCAGAAAGTCCAACAAAGGCCCGCGGCAGCCGAGAGGCGAGCTCCAAAGACGCCGGGCTTTCGCGCTCTCTCGCCCAGCCCCACGTGGAGCCAAGCTCCGCCCGGCCGCCGCGAAAGGGTTCCCGAGCTCGGGCGTCTCGGTGCCGGTCTCCCCTGCATCTGGGCTTGCCGCCCGGCCGCCGCGAAAGGGTTCCCGAGCTCGGGCGTCTCGGTGCCGGTCTCCCCTGCATCTGGGCTTGCGGGCACACGAGCACACGGATGCGGCCAAATCGCGGCACGCGCGTGTGTAGACTCCCTCGCCGCTGTGCCCCACCCGCAGCCCAGTGCGGAGACCCGAACGCTCCCGGTGCATCTGTACTCGAACACGAGCCAACACACTGGGATCGAGCCGCACGCAGAAAAACACGTACACATACACACACAGCCTGCGCCGCCAACTCCGCTCACTGGAGGACACGGACTCTTTTTTTTTTTTTTTAATGCGTTTACTAAGAAAGCTTTAAGGTCTCGTGGTCTTTCCTTTGGATGTGGGTTCCTACCTACTTGTGGAAGCGGGTGTAGACAGGAGAAGGGAAGATGAGTACAGAGTGAGCGCAGCGAGGAACTAGGTTTGCGGCCTGCTCTCGCCAAGACGCTGCCCTCACCTCCGGCGCCAGCTTGGTGCTGAGCTGCGGGTAAAGGGTGGGCGAGCTGGCTGGGGGAAGAGGGCGCGCGCCAGGCTTGTATCATCTCCAGTCCTCATGCTTAACTCCCGCCCTCGGTTCTTTCTCCACCCGGGAACCTAACTCGCCAGAAGTAGGGGGCGAATTTGTAAAACACGGGGGCCCCCCCCCCCCCCAGAGGCGAGGTGGCTGGTTCCAGTTCAGATTGGGTGGGGGCTTCAGCGAGGGCGCAGGGGAGGAGGGAGTGAGCCGGATCTTATGGATCAGACCTGTTGCGGACTTGGTAACTAAAACCGAAGCTCCCTGTCAGGGTTAAGAGATTCCCCCCAAACCCACAGTTCATACTTCTGGGGCGCAGGCAGTAACCTGGGCCGTCCCTGCTTAGGTGGAAGAAAATCTTGGGGACAACGTTCTTTGACTCGTCGTAAAATGAGAGCTCCTTTGATGGAAGTGGAAATGGGAAAGAGGGCTTCTGGTTGTGCGTGCGTGTGCAGGCCAGCCCAGTCCTCTGTGACATTTCGCCTGGGTGCTCCCTGAACCCCAGCTCTCGGATCCGCAGGGGCAGCAGGGAACCATGGAAATGCAGTGAGGTTTTGAGGCCAAACGCTCTCGGAGATGGGGAGGAACTTTTGAGGCGACAAGCTTTTCCAGCCTCGCATTTTTGACGCACATGGTAAAGAGCGCTTGGCGCCAGCATTGAGAATTCCCTAAAGTCACCAGAGAGAATGGAGTGTTTCTGCAAACTCGGTCTGGCCGGTCGTTTCTCCTCTTCCTTTCCCTTTCGGTCTTTTCTCTGGCGTCCTCTCTGTCTCTCTCGGCCGGTTGTAAAGATTGGAGAAAGAGAACGAGGTGGTGGGGCCCAGAATACTGACTCCTAAGAACCCCCACTGCCCTGCTGCCTCATCCCGAAGGGTGCGAGAGGCCAGGCCTTGCCCCTCCTTATGCGAAACACAGAGGTCACTGCAGAGTTTAAGTCTCCGGAGGCAAAAAGCAACCCCTCCCCCACATTGCTGGCTGCTAGGACCTGGGGCCGCTTCGCAGCGCTTTCCAGAACGGCCCCAAATCCCTGAGATCTGGTTTTGCCTGCAATCCCGGGCCAATCTCTGCTTGGCTGCGTGGAGTGGAAGGAAAGTACTTTTGCAACCACAATGTGATCGACCCCTTCCTCACCCTCTCCGTGCCCCAAGCACCCATCTGCATGGCGTTGCGTGGCGGGGAGACGTTTCCATCCGGTCCTCTGCACCCTGGCCTCCCGCCTGCTTTGGAAATAGGCAAGAGCGACTTGGTGATTTTACTTAGGAATATCTGGACTTGCTTTTGGGCTCCGCCAAGGACTGAGAGTGACTTCAGCCCCTCACACTAACTCCCCCCCCCTTGCCGATTTTTGTCCGTAGTTCTAACTTAACCCTCAAGTCACCCCAGCTGGCCCGATCCGACCCGCCCCCCACCCCATCCCCTACTCCGGCACGCCAAGGAGCCGGGTAGAGGAAAGTTTGCGGGGTTCTGAATCGAAAATGTCCACATCTTGCTAATGGTCTGCAAACTTCCGCCAATTATGACTGACCTCCCAGACTCGGCCCCAGGAGGCTCGTATTATGCAGGGAGGCCGCTGTAATTCTGGGATCAAAAACGGGAAGGTGCGAACTCCTCTTTGTCTCTGCGTGCCCGTCGCGCCCCCCTCCTGGTGGTGATAAACGCGACTCCGGCGCCGGCCGTGCGCTGGGTGATTAATTTGCGAACAAACAAAAGCGGCCGGGTGGCCACCGCATTCGGGTTAAACATTGGCCAGCGTGTTCCGAAGACTGGTGGCCAAGCCTGGCCTCCCGGAGAACCCACGAGGCTCGTGTGCCCCTGGCTCTGGCTTGAGGCCCCAGCCGCTGACTGTACGGTCTTTTTTCCTCTCTGCAGACCCCTCGATCTTCTTCCGCTCGGGCTCCTGTTCCACCAAAGACCTATGAAAAAAAAAATATATAAGATCAATGAGCCTGCCCAACCACAAAGTCAGAGAAGAGGGTGACTTAATGGCGGGAGAAGGGAGACAGGGGCCAAATTCTAGGTCGGAAAGGACTCATGCAAGTTGAGCGTCTCCATAGAGTCTTCCATCTTTTGCAAAAAAAAAAAAAGAGTTTTCACTTAATTGGAGACTTGGAATTTAAGGAAAATACATTGAAAACCCCACTCTCTCTGCAAAGCCTGTAGCGTTTAAGGGTGGGCGTAATATGCTTGCTCACTGGCGCGTGTTGTGGGGGGGGGGGAGGAGAGGAGGCACGGAAGCTTCAAAATAAAGTTCAGATGGGAAAAAAAACAAAGCTCAAAACTAGATCAACTGTCCTTGGTGCAGGCCACAAGTGTGAGGAGTTCCCCTTAGGAGATAAACACTCCAGAAAGCTTCTGCCCCATTTTTCTCTCTGCCCCGCCTGCCCCAAACTCCAAAGCAGGACAAACTGACTCTTTTGTGACAAAACGGTGTTTATCTGAAGTTTACAAAAAAAGGGGGGGGAGGGGGAAGAGGGTGGTGGGTAGGCGGGGTCGTTTACTTTGGCAAGTTTGCTGTAAATATTCTCTTCGGCATGTGTGAGGTCTGAAGAGGGACTATTACACGCTTATTCCCTCTTAAACTTTCACCCTGCTTTGCCTCCGAGCTTTTCAGTCCAAGGTGTCCCTAAATTAGGAACTCTGTGGTCATAAGGGCATCGGTATTTTTCCAGGGGTCTGAGGCCTAATTAAGAAGTTGTTGTTGGTGGTGGGAGGGTGTCGGTCAATATATAAACTTTTACTAGGGAGGAGCTGTCGCTGGACAGTATGGGCTCCCAGCTCCTGCCCAATGCAGCAGAACTATGGAATCTGGCTCTTTTGATATTGACAAGCTTTGAAATTGACTAGGTGTGGGCTGTAGAGCTCCCAGCACTTTTGGGTTCAATTCTCCCAGTTAAGGACTTGATTCTCTTTTCTGGGGTCCTGGCCAAGCAGCCCCCTGGGGAGTATCTATAGATTATTACTAATCATCCCTCCCCCAAATCAAAACTACTCAACACTCCCCCCCCCAGTTCAGTAACACTCCTGTACTGCCTCAAATCCTAACGCTCATGTGCAGTTCTAAACCCAGTGAAGGATTTCCGGGGAGAATGGCTTTTCCTCCTGGACCCTCAAATTCACTGTCTACTAACTCCCACTCCGCTCCCCAAAGTTGAGTCTGAGAGCTTAGCTCTTCCAGATCTGGAGGCTTCTGCTAAGTCTCTTTGAGAGAGGGTCAACTTCTCTGCTTTCCCTCTGCCCAGGGCAGGCACTAACTTCTTGGTTGGACAGGACAAAATGGGGCAGCCACTTTTATTTCTGTATTTTCTCCCTCCCCCGCCCTGCCGTTTTTCTTTTGATCTCACTGTCTCTCTCAGTTCATCTTCATTTAGGATTCTTCCAATGGAGGGCCATGAGCTGATTCTTAATTTCCTTCTACTTTCTCACCTCCTTTTCTCCTTTGCCTCTAGTTCATTCTTGGTTTCTATTTCTCCTCTTCTCTGTCTCTATCCCAGTGGCTTTCATAGCCTTTGTTCTTTCTGGGTTTTTGTTTAGTTTTTTTTTTTTTCTTCTTCTTCTTCTTCTTCTTCTTCTATCTTCTCTATTCCTATTTTTCTCTGGCTTTCCTGGTCTTCTCTGAATGCTCTCCTGTCTCTGACACGGTGCTCTGTATTTCCCACCCTCCCCGCACCTCCTCTGCCCTCATCTTTTCCAGTAACTATGACAGGCTACTAATACCTCTTCCTGGGGCTCAAGCAAACCTTGTACCCTCACTTCCTGGGCTAGGAAGATAAAGTGTCTGGAGAGATAGGAAAAGGTGGGACCTTTCACCTTCTCCGTTAGGTATCTCCAAAGTCACCATTTCCCCCAGAGTTGGCCCAATCCCTGCTCCCTGAGATCCAGCCCCCCAACACACACACACACACACACACACTGCAGAAGCCCAGGGTGACAAGGCTGCATGGCAGACTGAAGCCCCAGCTCCCAGCTTCTAGCAGCACACAGCTTTCCTGTAACGCATATTTCTCGTCCTCTGACATCTCTCTAAATTATTGATCAAGGCAATTCAGTGCAAGAGTCTGAAGTGTGTGTGTGTGTGAGAGAGACGATTGTCAAAGTTGTCTAGCTCGGGGAAGCAGTATTTTTAGTACCGAGGTTCCCTTTGGCGCCAGTTGGTTTATGCTGTTACTAGAGCATCATTCATTATACACTTAATCCGCGCTTATCATACCTCCTTTTAATGTAAATATGCTTTTGGCTGAGGCGCAATGAAAAGATTTCACCCTCCGTATTCTTCTTATTAGCACCTCCCTTTCATCAGCGCTGATCACTGCAAAATGGCAAATTTGTACACAGTTAGTGATTTAGATCACTTGCAAGGGAAATGAGGGAGGTAAGGGGGGGAGGTGTGTGTGTGTCTGGGGACAGTGCTTTTCTACATCTGGGAAGGTTTTTTTTTTTCCCCCTCTCTCAGGAAAAGGAACTAATTGTGGTTTCCTAATTTCAAGCCAATCTACATCTTCAATGCTCTCTTTGTGTGTATGCTTTTCCCAATTACTTAAGAAAAAAAAAAGAAAAAAAGAAGATAGTGCCGTGGACATTACTTAGTCCAGCAGAAATGAATTCACAGGGAAGGGGCTAGAAATATATTCCCTCTCCCCCCGCCCCCAGCTCAGCTCAGTGAGAATCAGCAAGACCCAGGCCAGAGCTGACTTTTTGCCTGGGGCACTTCGGGACCACCCTCTTCCCAGATTTTCAGTCAAGTCAGGTAAGGGTGTAAATGGACCCTCGGTGATTTGTGGCAGGTATGTGGTTTATGGGACTAGGGGGAAAGGGGGAGGGGAGGGCCGAGGGGACAGGATCTTTCAAAGGACAGAGGGAAAGTACGACAATGCACTTTCCAGTCCCCACATGCAGATTGAAGGTGACCTGTGGCCAAGGTCCTGCTTCTGTTGAATTCTTTTCATTGTTATAGGTGTCCTCGGGTGCCAGGATTTTGGGGGAGGGGGCAGGGAGGTTTTACCCCTTGGGAGCCGAGGGAGCAGAGAAGCCAGGGCGATCTTTAAGTGAGAGAGCATGGCGAATTAAATGGCCACTACTGTCAGGAAGGCTGACAGGCCCGAGAAAGATCAGCTCCTCCAAACTTGCTGAACTAACCATCCCCTCCTAGCTTCAGACACGTTTTCTCAATTTGAACACAATATCCATTACTATTTCCCGTACTGGGTTTCAATTAAAGAGGGCAGGAACAGGAGCTCACTGGTGTGTGCTGCTGCATTTATCTCCAAGCAGGACACCCATGAAAGGAAGCAGTGGACACTGAAGTCCTGAGTGAGTTTTTCCTCTTCCATCCGTTTCCTCTTTGGAGCCTCACCTCCTCCGCTCTTGGCCAGCCAGCTAGCCTTCCTGTACCCCCCCCAAAGGTAATGTTTCCACGTCTCCCAAATCCAGTTAGGGCGAGGAGAGGAAGAAAGCAGTGACATGCCCTGGCACACCCAGTGACTCTCCCGAAGAGATGCAGTTGTCCTTGGGGACTCTGAGGCTTCAGGGAGAACATCGCCTTCTCAAGGCGTATGGCATTGGAGGGGTATGAACACGCAAGGCTTCCTGGTTTCATTGTCCTATTGAAAAACAAATAAAATCCTGTTTCCCTTGTTCACCTCTATGGGAGATGGAACTTTCCACGTGGCTAAACTTTTGGCATCCTAAAACACAGAAATGGTGGCCCTGTTTCTCGAGGGTGCCTGGGCAGAGAGGGGCCTGGTAAACCTGCCATCGAGGAGGTCATTAGGTGTCCTGGATTCAGGACCCCAACTCCAGAGCTAGCCTGACCCACCATTGGGTTAAGTTTATGGCCAAATTCCCTTTCACACACTTGGAAGCAAGACCCAACTCCCCCCCTCCTTTCACCTTCTAAGACTACTAACCTCATACTTCCACCACCCAAGTAACTGGCCAGAGGTGTAGCTGCCCCTCGGTGCTAATCTTCATGACCCAAGCCTCTTCCTTGCCAAGTCAGCCAAAGATATCGGAGACTTTAGCCATCCAACTTTAAGTAGGATGTGTTCCTTCCAAACCGGTCATGCCCACCCTCGAAATAATACATAACAAATCCTGTATGTTTCTAAATGCCCAAAGTCTTATAGAACACTCAGCTGGTAATCAGACCAGTTGGAATTATAGTCTTCTCTCTCCAAATCTGAGTCAAGGTTTCGGTGAAGGTTGTGGCCTGCCTGAGACACCAGGAACTCTGAGAAGCCTCTTGTTTGGGGATCAGACTATGGAGAATGACAAACTTTTTTTTTTCTCTTTCTTTAAACTACTCTAAAATAATCCTTTAGAGGAAGGAGGAACAGGGAGGCAGAGACATAGGCATGGCAACGAAAGAGAAATGTTTGGAACCGTGAGAGTGCTTTTCCTAAGAAGTCTTTTCTTCTTCTTTTTTTTTTTTTTTTTTTTTTTTT